CCTCCACCACCCCCGTCGCCACTGTCGCCACCGGCTCCTCCCCCGCCCCCGGGCATTCCGTGGCCCTCGCCTCCCCCGCCCTCGCCAGCCTCGCCTCCCCCGACGCCCCGGTCGCCCCCTCCCACCTCGCCTCCCCCGACGCCCCGGTCGCCCCCTCCCACCTCGCCTCCACTGCCGCCGAGTCACCCACCTCCGGCGGCGGCGGCGCCGCCGCCGCCACCGTCGCCGTCGCCGCCACCGTCGCCGCCGCCGCCACCGTCGCCGCCACCGCCGCTCCCGCATAGGTCGCCTCCCGCCCTTCCCGCCCCGCTGCCGTCCCCTCCTTGGCACCCTCCAGACGAGCCGCCGCAGCTGCCGCCGCTGGACGCCTCTGAAGCCATCGTCAAAGGGTCTGCGTCCGGGCGTGGGCTCCCTAGAGCCCCTCGAGCCCTCTCGTCTCGACGCCGTGCCGTCTCCTCCGCTGTAGGCTCCGGCTCTGGCAGCTGGCGGGTCGAGGCGCAATGGGCCCGGCGGCGCAGATTTGGTCGTACGGCTTGGCGGGTGCCGCCACAGGAGTCGCTGCTGGGCTGCTGGGCGTGGGCCTTTGGGCAGGCCTCCTCTGCTGGCGCAGGCGGCCCTACCCTCTCCGCGACCGCGAGACAGAGGGGTGTGACATTGAGGCCAGAGGTTGACGAGCGAGTCTCGCTCGCCACACGCCCCGTAGGCGGGCGCCGGCGCACCTCCGGCACACGCAGCTTCAAGAGAGCATCGCGATCGCGGATCATGACGAAACTGATCGAAGCAGCCAGCGAGCATTGACAATGGCCGAGCCCGTCGACGCCGGCGTCGAAGCAGCTCGCCGCGTGGCCCGCGAGACGGACGAGCTCTGGGCGAGGCAAACCGGCGCAGTCCCACGGGTGCGCGATCTCATTGCAAGCAGCGAGGAGCGCTCTGGTGCGCAGCCCGCGCCGCGCCGCTCATACGGAAAGAGTTGAGAGGCGTGTGGGGAGGAGAAGTCTTGACAGGGACCACACAGCAAAACACGAGCAGGGTAACGGGGCTCGGTACGAGCCCTCGAGCTCGTAGGTCCGATCGTTACCTCTTGCTCGTAGTTTTGCTGTGTGCACCACCCTCGCCCAGGGATTCACAAACAATGCGCTGTCTCCCGGCCGTTATCTTTTTTCTCGGGGCAGCTGCAGGTTGTCGCGCCGCCCTGAATGGGGAGCACACCCACACTCTGCACGTGGGCTGTGTCCGTGTCGAGTGTCCGCTCTGACGAATAAATGAACTGTGTGTCAGAGAGTGTCTGACGCCGGTGGCATCGGCCGCCGAGGGAACGTCGGGAAGAGGCACGAGAGATTAAGAGCACGAAAACAGAAAACCCAAACGAGGGATAGTGTAGGACACCGCCGCCATCGGCCGCCGAGGGATTTTAATGTAGTGTCATGAGAGATAAAGATAAATAAAACGGAAAACCCAAACGAGGGATAGGTGAAGGACACGCTCGCCACCAGCACGAGCAGGATCTTGTAGGACGAGGAGTGAAATAGGGGAACGGGTAAGGGGAGCGCATCTCCACACGGAGGGGGGCTGGGCAGGGGGTTCACCCTCACCACAGGGTCGCAGGGATTTCTGCAAAGAGAGGAGTGTGGTGGGAGCGCGGGCCGCCTAAAATTCTTTGGGCGCGCCTGACCGCCTAAAGAGGACACCCAGAGGGGCAACCACCGCACATTGTTCCACCCAGCCAGCGAGGCTCCACACATGGACGGCGGCGAAGTACTCGTGGCTCAAGCCGAGACGGGCTGCGGCCACACCCTCGAGGTGGCCGCCGCCGACTCTGTCATCGGTCTCAAGACGGTCCTCTCCGAGGTAACCGGCCTGGACGTCGGCTGCCAGATCCTGCTGCTCGAGGGGGAGCGGCTGGAGAACGACGCTTCGCTCGGCGAGTACGGCCTGCCGGCCTCAAGCGGCGCCCGCTCCCGCCCGGTCTTCCTCTTCAACCGCCGCTCGCTCAACCGCTCCGCGCCGCTGCCCGACCCGCCCGGTCTGGCTCCGGCCGAGGCGCTCGTCCCGGAGGGCCTGCCCGAGGAGCTGGTGCCGCGCCGGCCGGCCGATCTAGCCTCTCCGCTCGTCCGCGCGCTCGTCGACTACGAGCGCCACTTTGCGCTCCACCGGCTGCAGGCGCAGGCGCTGCACGACAGCGGCGCGGCGCGGCTGCGCGCGGCGCGCGAGGCGCTGGACGGACGGGAGCTGCAGGGGATGGCGCTCGGCTGCGCGGTGCTCAACCTGCGCGGCTTCGCCTCCAAGCTGAGCGAGCGCTACGCCCAGTTCCAGGCCTCGTATGAGGAGACGACGGCGCTGCAGCAGCAGCTCGTCGCGTCGTTCGACGCCGACCTCGCCGCCCTGCGGGGCGCGCCGCTCGACGACGCGATCGCGGAGCTGGAGGGGTGGGGGGCGGGTGTGAGCCTGCTGCACTGCTGCGGCGAGGAGCGGCTCCGCTCGTGGCTCTCCGAGTGCCAGCACAACGCCGACCACCTCACCGCCAAGGCGGCTCAGTTTGCGCTCCAGTGGTCCGAGTTGCAGGCGAGGGGAGATATGGGGAGATATGGGGGAGATATGGGTTTGCGCTCCAGTGGTCCGAGTTGCAGGCGAGGGGGCGATGAAAGCAGGAGGAGGGGGTCACAAGATGAGACTCTGGCGTGAGCTGCAGGCGGGGATCGCCCTCGAGGAGGAGGCGCCCGAGACGCACGCGCCGCCCTCCTCGGCGGAGCTGCGGCTGCGCACCACCTCCACGCTGCTGCAGCAGGGTGGCTCCGTCCTCGCCGCGCCTCGCCGCGACGACGTGATGATGAGACCGCGTCACTGTGACTGTACAGGCGACTCCGTCCTCACCGAGCTCAGCCGCGACGCACTTCGCGTCTCCCGCCTCGTCGACGAGCAGACGCAGGTTGCGCCGGACGGGTCCCCTCTCCCCGCAGGGTCCCCGCTCCCGCCAGCCTCGCGCAGCATGGCCGGCTCCTCCACCGCGGTCGGCTCCTTCGCTGCGGCGGGACCGGCCACGCCCGCCGGGGCCACTGACGGCGCGAGCGGCGCACCGCCCGACGCGGGCCGTGCCCCCTCCCCCGCTCGCCCGGCGGCGGGCGGCGAGGCGGCTGCCGGCGTTGCGGCGGGCGGCGAGGAGGGGGTCGGCGGCGAAGGCGGCGGCGAGGCGGCCGGGAGCGCGACGCCGTCGCTTCGCGGCTCGCTGGTTCGCCCCTCGGCGGCCAAGCTGCTCGAGGAGTGCGCCGCGCTCGA